CGCCTGGGTGGCTCAGTCGGTTGAGCGTCCGACTTCGGCTCGGGTCACGATCTCGCGGTCCGTGAGTTCGAGCCCCGCGTCGGGCTCTGTGCTGACAGCTCAGAGCCTGGAGCCTGTTTCAGATTCTGTGTCTCCCTCTCTCTCTGACCCTCCCCCGTTCATGCTCTGTGTCTCTCTGTCTCAAAAATAAATAAACGTTAAAAAATATATATAAAAAAAAATAAAGGATGAATTTTATGTGATGTGAATTATAGCTCCACAAAGTTGTGATTTAAGGGTAGATTCAAACCTGAGGATGTCAATAATTACATTAGATGTTAAAAAATTAAGCTCTCCAATGAAAAGACAGAGATTACAAAACAGATTGAAAAGGACCCAACTATAAGCTGTCTAAAAAAGACTTTACATATTAAGACAAAGGTAAAATGACTACATGAGTGGAAAAAGACATACCACGCAAATAGGAAGCATTAACAAAGGTGGAGTGTGGGGCGCCTGGGTGGCTCAGTAGGTTAAGCATCCGACTCTTGATTTCGGCTCAGGTCTTGATCTCATGGTCATGAGATAGAACCAAGCCCCACCCACATCTGGGTCCACGATGGGCGTGCAGCCTGCTTAAGATTCTCCCTCTTTCTCTCCCTCTTCCTCTGCCCTCCCATCCTCTGCACACACTCATGGGTGTGCTCTCTCTCTCAAAAAAAAAAAAAAAAAGGTAGTGACAGTTTAATATCAGGTAAGAGGGATTTCAAAACAAAATATATTAAGAGATAGAACACTTGGTAATAATAAAAGGATCACTTTAAGAGGAAAACAGGAACTCATAAACGTACATATGCACCCAATAACAGAGCTTCAAATACATGAAGCAAACGTCCAGAGTTAAATTATAAGGAGAAAGAAAATCCTGCAATCCATAGCCGGAGGTTTTATAAGTACCTGTAAGCAACTGATAAAACTAGACAACTAGTAAAGACACACAAGATCTTAATACTTTCAATCACATTGACTTGCCTGATAGAACGGAATGACTTACAGAACACTGTGTATAATGACGCCAGAATCACATTCTTTAAGTGCACACAGTACATTTACTAGGAAATACCATATATCCTCAAATTTTAAAAGATTGAAATTATAGGGGCGCCTGGGTGGCTCAGTTGCTTGGGCCTCCGACTTTGGCTCAAGTCATGATCTCACAGTTTGTGAGTTCGAGCCCTGCATCGGGCTCTGTGCTGACAGCTCAGAGCCTGGAGCCTGCTTCGGATTCTGTGTCTCCCTCTCTCTCTGCCCCTCCCTTGCTCGTGCTCACGCACACGCGCGTGCGCACTCTCTCTCTCTCAAAAGATAAATAAATAAACAATAAAGATTGAAATTATATACTCTTTCTGACCAAGATGGAATTATGTTAGAAACCGGTAACGAGTAAATAACAAGGTAATGTCCACCATATCTGGAAAATAAATAATACTTGTAAATAATCATTGGATAAAAGTAGAAATCACAAGATAAATTAAGAAAAGTGTTGAACTTGGCACAAAAACAGACACTGAGACCAGTGGAACAGAATAGAGAACCCAGAAATGGACCCACAAACGTATGGCCAGCTGGTCTTTGACAAAGCAGGAAGGAATATCCAATGGAAGAAAGACAGTCTCTTCAGCAAGTGGTGCTGGGAAAACTGGACAGCTACAGGGAGAAGAATGAACCTGGACCACTTTCTTACATCAGACACAAAAAATAAACTCCAAATGGGTGAAAGACCTCAATGTAAGACAGGAAGCCATCAGAACCCTCGAGGAGAAAGCAGGCAAAAACCTCTTTGCCCTTGGCCACAGCAACTTCTTACTCAACACGTCTCCAGAGGCAAGGGAAACAAAAGTAAAGATGAACTGTTGGGACCTCATCAAAATAAAAAGCTTCTGCACGGCTGAAGAAACAATCAGCAAAACTAAAAGGAAAAGATATTTGCAAACGACATATCAGATAAAGGGTTAGTATCCAAAATCTATAAAGAACTTACCAAGCTCAACACCCAAAAAACAAATAATCCAGTGAAGAAATGGGCAAAAGACATGAATAGACACTTCTCCAAGGAAGACATCCAGATGGCCAACTGACACGTGAAAAACTGCTCAACATCACTCATCATCAGGGAAATACAAGTCAAAACCACAATGAGATACCACCTCACACCTGTCAGAATGGCTAATATGAACAACTCAGGCAACAACAGACGTTGGCGAGGATGCGGAGAGAGAGGATCTCTTTTGACTGCTGGTGGGAATGCAAACTGGAAAAACAGCATGGAGGTTCCTCAAAAGGACTAAAAACAGAACTACCCTATGACCCGGCAATTGTACTACTTGGTATTTATCCAAGGGATATAGGTGTGCTGTTTCAAAAGGGCACATGCACCCCAGTGTTTATGGCAGCACTATCAACAATAGCCAAAGGATGGAAAGAGCCCAAATGTCCATCGATGGATGAACGGATAAAGAAGATGTGGTCTATATATACAATGGAGTATTACTCGGCCATCAAAAAGAATGAAATCTTGCCATCTGCGACTATGTGGATGGAACCGGAGGGTATTATTATGCTAAGTGAAATCAGTCAGTCAGAGAAAGACAAAAATCATATGACTTCACTCATATGAAGACTTTAAGACACAGAACAGATGAACATACGGGCAGGGAAGCAAAAATAATATAAAACCAGGGAGGGGACAAAACAGAAGAGATTCATAAATATGGAGAACAAACTGAGGGTTACTGAAGGGGCTGTGGGAGTGGGGATGGGCCAACTGGGCTTTAAGGAATCTACTCCTGAAATCATTGTTGCGCTAAATGCCAACTAATTTGCATGTAAATTTAAAAACAATAAAATTAACAAAACAAGAAATGTGTTGAACTGAGTCATACTAAAAACAGGACAACATAAAATGCATGAGATGCAGCTAAAACAGTGTTGAGAGAGAGCTTTACAAGTCTCCACAAAAAAAAAAAGAAGGTCCCAAGTTGATAACCTAAGCTTGCACCTTAAAAAATAGGAAGTGGTTGGCAATTATACCAAGAGTGAACAGGAAGGAAGGAAATAAAGAGCAGAAATTAATAAGATTGATAACTTCTGGCCACACTGACCAAGAAATAGAGCAGAAATCAGTTATTTGTATCAGCAATGAAGAAGAAAACATCACTACAGACCCCTCAGAGTTTAAAAAAAAAAAAAAAA